ATTGTTCCGACCGAACAAAATCCCCAAATATGTCACCTATATAGGCTGATGTTTGATTATATTATTTAAACACGTTAGGCGCAGTAACGAGACCAATCCAATCCAATCAATCCGTGAAAGTCCTAGATTTGCTGTCGGTGTAACTAGATATATATAAAAACACGTTTATATCATATTACAACGTACACCCCACGGCACTAACGCTCAAGGGGTCGTTGTCGTAACAGGTACTACAGATACGGCAGCGCGTTGAGCATTGACTTGCCTAATGGCATATAAATAGATATATACACACATATATATATATATATATATAAATAATATATATATATATGTGTGTGTGTGTGTGTGTGTGTGTGTGTGTGTGTGTGTGTGTGTGTGTGTGTAGTGTAGTGTGTGTGTGTGTAGTGTAGTAGTAGTGTTAGTGTGTAGTGTAGTGTGTGTGTGTGTGTGTGTAGTGTGTGTGTGTGTGTGGGCGCGCGTGCGTGCGCGCGTGTACGCGTACGTGAGCGCGTGCGTATGTACGAATATACTGACCTGAGAGAGTATATATATATATATATACATAATATATATATATATATATATATATATCGCCGACCTTTATTTAAAACTGTGAGCATATCGCACTTTCAAGTGTCCTCCAACAGAAGTACATATAGCAAGCAGTACGGCGGAATATTGATCGGCGAACGATAACGGATATATACATCACTCTATGGCTTCACACATCACATACTATACGCTCATCAACACTCACTCACTCACCAGGCTATACTATACTCCCTACAACGCATCTATATCTCAAAACGACGCCACGTTTTCGTTTCGAATTTTAACCACTCACCGTGAAGGGTCAAGCGGTGTATGATCGCACGCTGAGCATAAATAGCTGGCAGCAAAATTTCATGCACAAAGACACGAGAAATGCGGTCCCGAGTGAAACTGGTTCGTTACGGTTTACATATATTGCCGATTTAGGGGTAAGAGTTAGAGATCTTAGTGCTCCAGTTTCTTGTAAGAAGCATTCGCGACCTGAATTCGCCGTGACATTTGCAAACGAACGTTGAAGAAGGTGAACTACAACATTACTAACACTACGTTAACGATCTAACGTTAAAATTACGTTCTCCCTTTATCAACGTTAAAGACACCACGTAACAGACATCAGCGTAAATACAACCTTATAAATCTGCAAAATGAGATCCTACCAACTTCTGACGAACTTCTACCCAGCCAACGGCGTAGTATGGTGACTAATATGCCCCGCACATCCCCATGCAGCTATCGTATGCCTGGCTTATCAGATGAAAATCTTTCGCGATAATCGTGTGCCAGCTTTCATTGCCATTTTGAGCCACTCCTAAAGTGTAGTGCTAGAACTGCGGTCCGTGGCTTACCCGCTAAAGCCAATTTCTTACACGCGTGGGCAATATAACTGTACTTCATTCACTGATCCTGAGACATTAATAATGCTTCGTGTTTTTCTCGCGATGCAGCAGTAGTACGTAGTTAATATCTGGAATACTGAACATGTTGTAAACGCATGAAGATGTGAAATGCGGCGCTGCATTTCGAACTAAACGCACGCTTACCGTTCAAAGAAAAACGTCTTTGTACTCTATCCAGACTGCACAACATAATCGGCAGCAGCGATGGCTTGAATGGATGCTACTTCGAATTGCTTTGCAATACGTATGAGCTACACATGAATGCCCGTCGACTGGGACGGTATCAAGCTGTCTGACCGACATATCGGTGCGAGATCGACTCTTCTCACACATACACACACTACGGCGCGCGTACGCATGCGCACGCACGCACGCACATACACACCGCGCCACACACATACACACACACGCACGCGCGCGCGCACACACACACGCACGCACGCACGCACGCACCACCACGCATACGCGCACCACACGAACATAGACACACACGCGGCGTCGCCACGCACGCACGCACAAACAGCACACACACACACACACACGCCACACACACGGCGAGTCCACGCAGACGCTAACACACTCTGCGTTCATGAAGCTTACCTGCCATGCGCCATGCCGCCTCAGCTCCACTTACTCCCGCTCTTCTGCGATGCTACGATGCTATAATATTTTAGTCTCAATTATCCCGCGTCCTACACACGCATCCCCCCGCGCGCGCGCCACCGTTACACACGTGCACGCACACACACACACGCCGCCGCAGAATTCTCGCAAAATGCAGACGCCCCCCCGTCCTCCGCGCCAAAACTGCCGCGCTGACGACAGAACTGACGCATGCGCGTGCGGCGGCGGTGGACACAGTTTGCGCTTATAGCAGCGCACGACGACGAACGGATCGCTGGGCGACCAGCGCGACTGTAGCGAATAATTGGCGACGACAACGCCCGCCAGGAGCGTTTTTCCCAGCCGACCACGTGACAGCCGGCCGTACGACCTTCGGGACGACCTTCGTGTCTGCACGGACGATCCAGTCGACTTATTAATAATTAGCAAGAAAGAAATGTCTCGTTCATAATTGATGGCGGGAACAGCATGGCGAACAAAAACTTGATATATATCATTGATTACAGCTACAAGGCGCAGCATTTTCGCGTACGTCACAATCGCGTATATAGGGCCTATATATATATATATGTGTGTGTGTGTGGTGTGTGTGTGTGTTGTGTGTGTGTGGTGTGTGCGTGCGTGCGTGCGTGCGTGCGTGCGTGCGTGCGTGTGTGTGTGCGTGCGTTAGGACAGCGTGCCGAGTTACACAGACATGCAAGCACGACTCACGGTGTCGCGCGCGCGGCACGTGAAATCGACAAATCGTACCTAGTGACCCGCCCTGCTGTATATATGCACGTAGGGTTTGCGTGTAGTCGGAGTCGTCGAGCCTACTCTCTCATCATCATCGTCATCAGATATCATCATCACCCCTGGTTGCATCGATCCGGCATTGGAGCCGTCGCAGCAACAGCGACATTCAATCAATGCGAGGCAGTGACGTGCGCACGCGGTGTGTGTCGCTAGCGACATCGTGCGGTGGAAAATAAGATGTCCTGATCGGGGGGACCGCGACACGTTACATATGTTGACATTTAGTGCTAGGTAGATATTTACGTGTTTTGCTGGAATTTCTGAAAGTAGGCTCTAAAAGAAAGAGGTTTGAAATCGTCATAGGGGAAATCTGAGCAATCCTCAGTAAAGAATTAAGCGTTTCCACGCTCGCGTTTAATTTTTAAAAAGTAATCCAGGAACAAGACGAAAAAACAACCAGCTCTTCGTGCGAACGTGTGCGTATAACTACACCGAGTTGATGGTACGAATTGTATAACCCCCGATCAAGTTCTACTTGGGTGTCCCGGCCCAGATACCCCGCTTTCGCACCTCGAGAGATGAAATTTTTTCGGATGACGCAAATATCAACCGAAGACGATTACGAATGAGAAATATTGACAGTATGCGCGTTGTGTATAGTATAACTCATGCGTGCCGCAGACAATGCTTATGAATAGGAACTAGACAGATGGCACTCACGGAGAGTGCATACTCCGCGAGCATGTAAACATGTATGTGCTCGTGGTGCGGCTGCTGACTGACTCGCCTGCTGCTGACTCGCGCGCTCCTGTGGCTGCTGCTGACTCGGTCGCTCGCTGACTCGACGCGCTATCGATCGCGATCGTATCCACTGCGGGCAGCGCTTCATACTTGAACATCTCCGCGGTCGCGTGCGCTATATCCGCGAACAGCGCGTGTTGTCGGCGCCGCTCAGCGCCTCATGATCAACAGCCAAACTGTGCAACGCAAACTTGTATCATGTCTCACTGGACACACACACACACACACACACACGAACACACACACGAACACACACACGAGAGCGATTGCATGACCTCCGTTTGCGCGGAGGTAGGCCTAATTACTAGCAAGTTGAGTGGGCACTGTGCAGCTACGTGCGTGCCCACGCTTACGGAGACAGTCGCTGCAAGCTCATATCTTTCCAGGACAATTTTGAAACGATATACGACCGAGGCACAAGAGGCTCTTAATTATTTGGTGGTTCTTTTCATCCATTCATTCATCTATTCGCCCGTCCGTCCGTCCGTCCGTCCGTTCGTCCGTCCGTCCGTCCGTCCGTCCGTCCGTCCGTCCGTCCGTCCGTCCGTCCGTCCGTCCGTCCGTCCGTTCGTTCGTGCGTGCGTACGTCTGTCCGTCCGTCTTTCCGTCCGCCCGTCCATCCATCCACCTATTCATCCATCCATCTAACTTACTATCTATAGCTAGCTACCTATCATTGCGAGTTATTTGAACGTCCATTCTTCATATGTTAAATAGTGAAACGGAATTGACGACCGAAACCGTCTTATAGCTTATTTTACTACGGTACCATTGAAAATATCGACAACACTAGTACAACAGACTGCATGTACACTACCGCCCACATGTATACCCGTAGCTACCCGTGCAGCATACAGTAATGGCACATGAACTATTATCGATATTTTTATTGATACGGTAGTATAATATGCCATGACATATATTCCGGTAGTCAATTCCATTTCACCGGTAAAATCACCAATAATTTGAGCACATTCAGAACAGAAGAACAGTTCACTGTTATTCGCGTGTGCTGGTAATAATTGTATGGTGAGCACTCAGTTTTCACGCTTAAAACGGACAACAGCGATCGCACAAGTATAGTATTAGATACAAATAATATAATCTAACAGAGTTGGGTTTCTACACCTACACCCGCGCTACTCTGCTGGGATACATAATTGTATCTAAGGCAGACCATGTTAATACGACGGCAATAGGTTAAGTGTACACGCCGCTGCAAACCTGTCCGGAACGTTATAGTAGTATAAAATGTTTATATAGTTTCTATATCGGCAACGAGCCACGAGTTTCTGAGGTCCATATTTAACGCAGTTAGCAATGGCGTCGACAGTTCTTTTCTCGCGAATTAAGTCTCGAGCAGTTCAGTGATAAACGAAAGTAACTTACCGCGTCTTGTTTCTTCCACCTCCATCTTTATCCATATAGGTATGTGAGTGTGTAGATGTGTGGGATAGGTATAGAACGTAAATGTAGGATACGCATTCGTACCCCTGACCTATATCATGACTGATATCACGCAAGCGTGACGCTTCGGCCTATACAAAACCATGGGGACGACTATAGCGTAGAAAACAGCATGCAGGCAGCAAGCATCCAAGCTGATCGAGGGAGGGAGGATAGGCTAGCGAGCGTTGCGAGTGCGTGTGAAGGAGTTATCGATGGACAGCTAGCACACACGATCGATTGCTGCATGCTAGTGGTATCAACTACGATTACATGGCGGTGGAAGGAAGTTGAATTTTTGCTACAAAATCAAAAAAAATTATGAATTATGGATACGCGATTAATAGATGGTGGAGTCAACTGACCTTGTCAATTTTCTAACCGAAAGCATCACACCGACAGACCGACAGACAGACAGGAAGACGCAGCCAGGTCCGGAACGTTTGTAACACGAAATTCTCGTAGCGTGATCGAGTCACACAGCAAAGACGGAGAATTTGGAAGAAAGCTGATTCATCGCTCACAGACGAGGAAATTCGTATCGGAACTAGAGTGGTCGTAACTTTACGTGATAAACGATCATCGCATAAACTCTGTTTATGAAGAAGAACAAATCCTAGCATGTGTGCTGCCAACGACCGATACTTTCCGGACGCAATCTTGCTACGTTACTGTATTTTAGTGCACTTTGCAGGCCAAGATATGTGTTCGCGCATGCTCAATATCTGCCGATAGCATTATTATTTTAGAAAAGTCATTCATTTAAAATGGTGAAGGGGCATCTTAGGGTAGATATACATAATAAATGTTCATCGCCTAAACTCTATTTATGAATAGGAACATGCACTAGCATGCATGGTGCCAGCGAGAGATACCTTCTGCACACAATAGAGCAGTGCTGCGTTACTGTATTTTAGCGCGATTTGCAGGCCAAGATATGTGTTCGACGAAGCGAAATTTTTAGAGCGTATTTTACGAAGCACATCTCTCCCGGGCATACCCCTGCTAATGTCATTTGTTGAGATTACATTAATCTAAATTAAGGAGCGCAGACCCATGAGTAATTTAATATGAAAATGATATAAAATGCACTGTTTTTCAATTATTGAATAAAATTTCATTAATTCACTTACTCAAATAACAAATTCTTTGTAAAATATAGGATGGGGAATAAAACAATTAACTCTAATTCGTGTATTCATAGTTTCAAATTGCACTTTTTTAATTAGCGTGCAACAAACTTGCTACGCACTAACGTTGAGTGACAGACTTTTCATCACATTTGTATAGTTGGGCTAACTACAATACAGAGCCTAGCCTCACTGTTCTTTTTCTAAAAATTTGCAAATTATAAAAAAATGTATGCGAAGGAAGATACGCTAGATTATTGTTTATAAAAAAAACTTGCATTTCTTGCTTACTATGACGACATGTACTTTATTCGCACTGATTTCCTTACATCATGTGAAGAACGACCAATACGTTTGGCGCAACTTTACGAGATGCGACTTTACGTAAAGAAATACCAATGGCGTATAGGCTACATTGTCGCTACACCAGACATTATCCTCATATCGCTCTCGTATGACTCTCGGATTACCCAACAAAACATTAATTAATTAATAATTTATTAATATTAATTGATTAATAATAATTAATTAACAATTTATACCAATTGTGTTTTTTTCGTTTACGGGCCGTCGGGGAAAGACAACACTTTCGACGTCTGTATGTTCGGAGTTTCCTCTTCTAGCAGCGGCTTCCTTATTTCGTCGTCGTCGGCGTCGTCGGAAGGGACGCCGGTGCACGTGCATATTCTGACTACGATCGGCCACAGAACGTTTTCGTAGATGAACATACCGAGCATGAGCACTACGAAACCTGGAGGTAAAATCAATAGATGAACATTATGTCACAACACACACGCGCCAACACGCACGCACGCACACACGTACACACACACACGCACACACACACACACACACACACACACACACACACACACACACACACACACACACACACACACACACACACACACACACACACACACACACACACACACACACACACACACACACAC